TTTTGTTGTTTCTTATATTTCTTTCAGTGTGTTTCAGGGTTGTCAGTAGTCGCTGTTTCAGGTGATATCTTCTACACTCTATCTTTTTGCTTAGAACATTGAGGACAATGTCTCGTTTTGGTTAGGGGGAGAGGGTAGTGGTTGATATTAAAAAAAAAAATTGTTATTAAGTAACTTTATTTTCTATTATTTCAACCATTTGCAAAACTATTGTTACTAGGATGGCAGAGTAACGGAGGAACTTTAGTGACTCTTGAGACGCATCTTAGTAAACATTCTTAACAAGGTCTATTATAATACTTCTTGAAATATTCAGGTTTACAAACTCTTGGATCGTTATCTATAGATTTTGTTTATATGCTCATCTAACAAGTATTTCTAAACATTCATTTTCACACACACATTCGAACATATGATTGTGGGTTGCACATTGGATTATTACATTATTTGTGTTCTTTTGTTAAAGGTAACAACTAAGGGAAAGGGATAGTATATAATATAAAAAAAAAAACAAAGTAGATAAGTTTGGTTTCGTAGCCTCTTTGACTTAAGCAAATAAGCCCGAAGGGGTGTTTGAACACCTAGTACCCTAAAGTCAACTAACTTGGGAGTTATTGGCTCAGTGCTTGTTACATGGGTTAAGGAGAAAGCTTAAGGGAATCAAACACTTCACTATCTACATATCAGTATTTGCAACCCGAGTTACTAAGCTCGTAGGGGTGTCTCAACACCTAATGCCCTAAGACCAACTGGTCTGGGAGTCATTAGCTGAAAGCTCGTTACATGGGTTCAGGATACATTGTGCTATAAATTCTTGCTTTCAAAAAAAAAAAAAAAGATAACAATCCCAACCCAAGGAAGTTAACCTTAAACATTAGAACAAAAATTTTGTTTTCTTCCATGAAAAGCTCCATAGCTATGTTTTGATTTATTGAGCACCGAAAGAAGGTTTACTAATATCTTGTTTAAGAGGTATTAAGCAGATATATAAATTTAATGAGAGTTTGTTTATCTGGATAGATTAATAGAAGTTAAATGATGAATGCCTTGCTTTGTGGTATTTGCAAATTATTTTTCTATTTTAATGCTTTGATTACTAGGGACTAGTAATAAGCTGGTTGGGGGGTGTGATTAGTACTTAAAAGTGCATTCTCATTAAGGATTTATGTCATCATATTGCACCTAAAGTATCATTAAATTCTCTAACAAAAGCATGTTTTATATTAGCAAGTCTAAAAATATAATATACCTTTAATTCATGGTAAATGTTCATCCTAAATGCAGGTCTATCACATAAATAAAAGGATTGATTGATGAGTTTAAGGATTGAAATTGAAAGGATAAAAAGAAGGCCAAACTTAGCAAAGTGTTGCTGGTGCATTCCAAGCTCAAGCACTATTCGGTTTTTGGCTCATATCTTGAGTTCTAGAAGTCCAAATGAGCTCTGGTTTTTTTTTATAGAAAGCTGAGACAATTGCCCACAGCTTCCACAATTCAGTTGGCTATAATTCTGATGTGAGCAATGACATTTTGGCCAGCCAACAATATCAAAAATCAGCCCATAATATCAAAAAAAAGCAGCCATTAATGTCAAAAACCAGCCACCAAATCAATGGATGCCCACCAATTCTTCAATCAATCAATAGTTCTGAAACTTAGCCTATAAAAGGAGGCATTGTCCATGTATTTAGTCATATTAATTTTCAGATCAAAGTTATCTTCTTGCTTTCTCTCTACATCTTTGTAATGTTCAAGTTTTCTTTCATGCTATAGTAATCTCTTGTTTATGCTCTTTCATTTCCTTTCCTATACTTAGTTAGCTTATATTATGTTTATGTTCTTATATTGCTTATTTATGTTTTTCTCCTTCTTAATGTTTAGCTAAGTTAATTATGTCAAGGTGAAAAGGTTTCTCTAATGGTGTTAGAATAGGTATAATATAAACTCAACATGAGCTTTAAATGTTTATATCCAAGAAAGATTGTTATTAACATGTTTTATCTTTTTATCTTACTAATTCTTAATACCTTGCTTATTAAATGGTTAATTTAGATTTGTGTTGTATAATATTTGCTACATCAAATGCTTGATCCGTCATAGTTTTCGGCCGACATCGTTATTATGATAGGAACTTGATTTGTTGTTAACATAAACTAGCAACATGAATGCTTGATGATATTTATAAGTATGGTATTACTTAGATAAGATAATTAATATGATCATGTTAGTAATTTATAATGAGCTAATAACGAGAAATCATCCGATTAGAACCTCATTTGTGTGTGGTTTCTAGTTGAGTAATAAAAAGAGTTTATATTATATTTATTTGAAATACCATTAGTGAATCCTATAACCTTGACATATGTTTTGTTATTGTTTAATCCTTACATCAATATCACATCCCAAAACTTTCTTTAACTCCTTTTCTGTTATTATTCTCTTCAAATCTTTTTCTTTATTTGTAATTTATATAATTCACCTCCCTGTGGTTCGACCCCGGTCTTGCCGGGTTATTTTACTTTGACACTCCTGCACTTGGAATAAGACATCAACTCTTTGATCGTGTCAATACCTTAACACTTAATTATTTTATATCAACATGATTTATTTTATTTTATTAAATCGAGTATAAATTGAATAACAAAATTCTTCCTCGACATTATGAGAACCTCATAATTAAGAGACTAAAACAAACTACCAAGTCATAAAAAAATTAATATCAAAGAATCAAATTAAAAAAAAAAAAGTCAAGTGACCACAAAAAAATCTTTCCTTGGCTATGCAAATTATTCCATGATGTTAGCATACAAAATGGATATTTATTTAATTTTTATTTTCAAATCTCTAATTCTTTTAAATTAATAAAATTAAATTTTATTTTTTAAAATTAAACATTCATCAAACAACTAAATATTCTGCTAACACTACAAGGTTCTTATATATAGATATAAAAATAAATTACAAAGACCGGTCTAGATCAAAGCAATGTTAAAGAACAAAAAAGAAAGAAAAAAGGGACCAAGATGGGAAAAAAAAATATTCATAGATAAAGGCATGTTCTGGGTTAAGGCATTTATGATAAGGAGAGGTACATTTTTAAGCTTTCCTTATTTTATATATACAACATATATGATAATAAGAATAGTTTTTACGACATTTTGGCCTTAATTAAGATTACTAAAAGTTGTTTATTAGTTATGCGAAAGTAATACCTTGTCAATTTAAAACTTAAGAACTGGAAAATAACGAAGCTTTGTTAGTTTTAATTTTCAATTTTAATTTTAATTATCTTGATTAAAATTATAAGTTTGTCAATTAAGAGTTCAAAAGGAGAACATGTGTTTTCAAAACATTAAAGTGAACAGTAAGGTTAGTAATGGGCTGAGAATTATTGGGGAAGCCCAACTGAGGAATAGAAGAGGGAAAAAGACGGTAGCCTTTAGCCCAACCTCTACTCTCCTTCCTGGCCCAACCGAAACCCTCTTCTTCTTCTTCTTCTGGGCTCAGTCATACCTCTCATCTCCAAATGAGCCCAACCGAACCTTCTTCACCGGCTAAACTCTCCATGGACACCTACTAAATAACCCTCCTCTATTATTCCGAACATGAACTTTTTTCCTTTTAGCCTAACTACAGTGGAGAAAAAGAAAAAGAATAGGTGAAATCTAAGCCCAACTAAACCCTAGGGCTCAGTTAACCAAGCCATCCAAGGGCCCAAACCAAGCCCAAGGGTCCGAATGAAGGTTAATAGCCCATTGAAGAAGACGGTTGGCAGCCCACTAAAGGAAAAGAAGAAAGATTTGAGAAAGAAAATAGCAGGCCCCACCAATCCACTTGGCCCAACCATGGACAAGGAGGAAAAGGGAAGGAAAAGTGAGACTCTAAGACACTATTTGGAAATGCGATTCGATCTGTATTTTTAAAAGTATTTTTTAAAAATTTAAAAAAAAATTATTTTTTATTTTTATTAAAATTTAATATAATTTATATATTTTAAATTGTTTTACGGGTTAATATTAAAAACAATTTTTAAAAAATAAAAAAAATCATTATCATATATTTTGATATAAAAAATTATTTAAAAAACAGCTGCTACAACGTTAGGAACCACACTCTAAAAGTCATGAAACCGTCGTGCGGCTCCAACAGAAATTCTCTAAAATTCAATTTTTTTTTAGAATTATTATTATTATTGTATTATTTTTATATTCCAGTATTAAAAATAAAATTTTAAAAAATAAAAAAATATTATTTTAAAACATTTATAAGAACCAATATCACTCATGAACATCCCGAATCGCCCTAATTCCTTATTCCTGATCGCCCCCTTGAATCCTTTTATATATAAATAAAATCATGCATGATTCCCATAAATGTTGACGAGTTTTGATGGCCAGAGAAAAACGAAAATGGGAATATCTCCTCTCAAGCATGTCGAGGATTGAACGCAAGCGTTTGCTGTGATTGTTTTTTAAAATATTTTTAATTTAAAAAATATATAATTAATATTTTTTTATTTTTTAAAAATTTTATAATTTTAATATTAAAAATAAAAAAGTAAAAAATATTTTAATTTATTTACAAGTCAAATAACCTTTAATAATTATAAAGCAACGTCATGCCAATAATTTAAAAATATTAAAAATATATTAACTTAAAATAAATTTAAATTTTTTTAAAAATATTTTTTGAACACATGCCAAACGGCAAGCTATATAACTGAAAAAAAAAATACTAAAATATTAAGAAATTATTTAATTTCTTAACGATAATTATGAATAAGATCTGGCTAAAAGATACGAAGTCAACTCACAAGCTACACAGAGTCAGAAATGTCATCATGAAAAGAGCTAGACCTCCGTTCACTTTGATTCCTTGTTTTTGTACAACTTTTTTGCATTTCTGAAAATTAGCCCCCTGCAAAAAAAAAAAAATCTGTCTTTTTGAAGAACAACCTCTCCATGTTTGATACCTCAAATTTTTCCAAGGGTGCAATTTTTTTACTCGTCTCTTTGAGTTGAATGATCAGGCAAAAGATTTCCTTCACAATCATACATAATTTTGCCTGAGAAATCCAGTGGCCTGCACCTTTCTCCCATGGCGATTGACCTCCTCCAAATCTCTTCACTTCCATCATCACAATCCTCATCTTGCTCCAGCTTCCTCCAAGAAATCATCTTCACCATCGAATGAGCCCTTTCCCTAATATCACTATTTATCTTCGAAAGAAGCCTTTTCTCAGTTGAATGTGAAATTACACTCTCCTCGTCTCCTTGTCCATGTGATTTTCTTGCTTTGTGATGAGAAGCACATAGGAAAGTTACAAGAGAAAAGACACCGAGCACTGCTATAAAAGCAATGAAATTGGAGACTGGGATATTTGATAGAAATGAATGGTCTTGCATGGCTAACAGAGGCCTTGCCATGGAAATCGGAGGGACGAAGAAAACAGAGTAGGATAAGGAGAGGAGAAGTTGAGAATCAAAGCTTGATTTGCATATCACCAGCAAATGCCATGCCAAGCACCACTTATAGGATAAACCTTAGCCATTTAAAATTACGAAAGAGGACCCGACAAGTCAACATTTCGTCAAGCCGTCTGATGACGTGGCCGTTTTGTTTGACGACTGAGATAACAAGTCATCGTTATTTGATTGGATGAAGAGCCATGTGGCTCTGCCGTTTTGCACAAGTTCGTGTTGACCTGACCATTGACTTGGGCCGTGCCCGATGGTTTGATGTTATAGGTTTGTTTGGAAGTTTGATTGGTGTTATTTTTTAAATAGTTTTTTATGTTAAAATATATATATTAATAATATTTTTTTTATTTTTTAAAAATTATTTTTGATATTGGTACATTAAAATATTTTAAAAATACTAAAAATATATTAATTTAAAATTAATAAAATATTTTTAAAATATAGAAACAAAAACTCATACTCCACTACAAAATGCTTTTGAATGATGTCTCTATTTCTATCAATAATCGGCTTAATTTTGTGATCTTAGTCTTTTCTTTGCTTGATTTGTATTTGAATGAAAAATTGAATTTATTGTATTTTTACAAGTAAATATGTATTTGAATTATATGAATAACTTCAAGTTCAAGAAAAGATATCAATGTCGAACAACTTATTTTATAAAATAATTATAATTTTTTATTTGATTATTATATATAAATTTAAATATTTTTTTTAAGAGATTTTTTAAATCTAGTTTTACAATTAATCGGCTCACTGTAATCAACTGTGATTGAGAATTAAGAATAAGGATTTCTTGTGATTCTTTCTTTCTATTTCTATGTTTCTTTAAAGATTTGCCTGCATAACTGTTTCTGCTGATTTCCTTACATGGAGAGTTCTATATCGCCCTATGCTTGGGGACTGACTGCAGGCAGGGAAGAAGAATATAGAACTGATGGATAAATAGGGACAAGCCAGAATCTTTTCCAGTGATGAAGGTAGAAATCAAATATCTCCAGGATTACGGGGAATTAATTTCGATCAAGCACAACTCCGATTACACTGCTCTCTATTTTCAATGTAATTTTCCCACACCAAAAGCTAGGAATAGGGGTAATTATTTCTAACTTGGTTTGATTTTTACCTGAAAAAATAACCAAATAAATTTTAAAAAAATCAAAACCAGTTTAAATTGATTAGTTTCGGTTCGATTCGGTTTAATTATTTAAAAAAAAAACCAAAACTCAATTGATTGACTTAGTTTTTTTAGTTTGGTTTGGTTTTTTCGGTTTGGTTCGGTTATTAATTTCGATCCTATATGATTTTTTAGTTTTAAACTTATGAAACTAAAACTGAATTAATTAGTTTTTTAAATATTTTAATCAATTTAATTGATTTTTTTTATGGTTTAGTTGTTTTAATTATTATTTTTTAATTTTTTAAATTTAATCTGTTGTTTTTAATTTTTTTATCAACCCCTGCCTAACGCAATGTATAAGTGTGCTTTCAATCTTATACGAGTCATTACTTAAAACTTTTTTCAATCTCTGTTTGTTAGGAAGCAATTTGAAGTCATTTTTTATCTTAATCATTATAAAATTTTAATTTATTAAAAAAATATAACTTTTTAAAATATATTATTAAGATTTTAGTTTAATTGAATAATTAAATTAAAAATTATTTTTTAGCACATCTTGTAACAATAACAATGAAGTTGAAATGCACCGAGGCTTGTAGCCTAATAATTTTGGTAGGGTTTTTCTATCTAAGTATTTTGAATTCAAATCTTAGCATATATGTTTGTCATTCTTATGATATCTTGCCTATCTACTAAACTGGCAAAATATTTATTGGATTCAAGAATTAATAGTGATGTATATAAACTGATCCTAACACCCGCATTTATTAAAAAAAAAAAAACAATGAAGCTAGAATAACACAATTGTGCAAAAAATAATGAAGAAGCTGCTACATGTGTAACAGAAGTCAACTTGTATTGTTACTTCTAAACAAAACAAAGTTATAGCCTAGCGGTGGGAGGGGCTTGTCCCTTTCTTCCGCACCTGGATTCGAACCTTACCATGCACGCTTGTCACTCTCGTGGTGCCTTACCTGTTCACTGGGCTTGCAGGATATTCAGTGAACCGTGTGGATTAGTCGTGGTGCGCGTAAACTGGCCTAGACACCCTACATAAATAAAAAAAAATACTTAAAATAAAATCCCAATAATAAATAATGATAAAATAATTATTTCAAGAAATTAAAAAAATAGTATCCACATCACAATCCCATCTTCTTTCTTTTTTAGACCATGATATTTTTTTAATTTCATTTGCAAAATAAAGTAGTTGAAACTAATTTTCCTTTCCTAATTTTATGGTACATTTCCAATTGTAATTTCAATTTCTCATGAAAATGAGCAAAAAAAAAAAAAAAAAACCACACATCCTCTTGGACTCAAGCACGCACCGAATTGCTGCTTTGCAGGGAGATAACTGCAACATTAGCAATTTAACATTAATAATGTACATAGTCGAAGAAGTACTTGGGTGGCCAAGTTCTTGGATTACAAAGAATTCTAGTACTGGCACTTATTTTCCAGTTATCTCAATCCAAAATCTAGATGTTCTTGCCTCCCTCTTTCGATTGTAGCGGGAATTCTAGCACTGGCACTTGTAACAACATTCTCGAAATACTATATTAGCAGACACAGCCTGAGCACAACACACCAGCCCCATCGTGATTTCTATCGTCAGAGGAATAGGGTGGAGACTCCAAGAACCGGAGAGCTTGAAGAGGATTTGCTGAGTTTCAGAAGGAGAAGAGCAGGGTTTTTCTTCTTGTCTATTGAAAAACCTCAACTTCTGATGTCCTACAGAGTTTCCTGGTAAAAATCTCAGATGATGAAAGTTAGATTTTCTCTGGAAAAATATGGGATTTTCTTTTCCGTTTTATTATGTGGTTTTTTCCCCTTTCTTTCGTTTGTCTAATCGATTTGGGGTCTGATTACCATACAATACTTTGATGGAGGGTTTTTTTTTCTTCTGAAATATCAGGTAAAGGCAGAATCTGCTGCAACATTGACTGAGTAATTTGTCGTAAAATTCCAGTCTTGTTTAAATTTATGGGAGATATGAGAACCAGTGAAGTGAAATCTTCAGCCGAGACAATTGGCAGTAACAAAGATATTCTGACTGAGATTCTTCTTCGAATGCCTGCTAAACCATTGCTCAAATTCAAGCGTGCATCAAAGCAATGGCTTTCATTGATTTCCGACCCTGTTTTTTTAATCATGTTTCAAAAAATATGTCATTTGTAAATTAATTAATATTAACAAAATTCAACTCAAAGTTTTATAAACATCTAATAGTCAAAAGTAATTCAATAGTTAAGAAATAAATAGAATACAATCACGTGGCAGGAAAGAGAATAAAATAATAAAAAACTTGAAAGAAAAAATAGTTTGTCAGAAACATAACACACTGATGATTCTGTTTTTTTGACATGCTTGATATTATTAAAAAAATCTCAATTATTATATAGGTAATTAAATAAGGTCATGATTATCTTTAAATTAACATTAAATAAAATATTTAACCAATCATGAGCATATTTAGTGGTTTTTTAATATATAAGTAAAATAATTTAATCGAGTTTTTTTTACTATATTGAAAATATAAAAAATAAAGCTCTAATATGCCTTTTATTTTATTTTTTATGTCACATCAACTTATTTTTCAAACCATGAAATCTTACATGTATCTCTTGGCAATTAATTCTAAGATTTTAGTTATTTTTGTATATGTTAATTAATTTAAAGAAGATATTAAATTTAAAATAATTGTTATTTTTAATAGTGGTCGTGTACCACTACCATTATTTGATTGTATTTAAAATGTATTATTTTCATATTACTTCTAATATTTTTTATTTTCCCAAGATTTTTATTAATCTATACACAAAAGACCATTCAAATCCATGCGTTCCATCAATTTTCTTCCTAATGTAAAATTTTATTTTCTTCAATATTTCCATTCTCTGAAGTGACTACATTAAATTTCCTTCCTCAACTAAGAGGGTGTTTTAAAGTTGGTTACTTCCCACTCTTTTGAAAATTAACAAAAAAAGAAGAAGAAGAAGAAGAAGGATGGTTTAACTATTTATATGAATAAATAAATAATTAAAAGTTAAATAATTATTTAATCATCATGCAATATCTTTATTCTATAGCTCAACTGGTTAGTTTGTGTGACTCTTCTTATATATTTTTCCAGTGTATCTTAACGGTTAAGAAATAACACTAAAAACTCAAACTTCGGCCTCCCAGGTTCAGAATATGGTTCATTGCCTTTTTGCCAAACTTTATTTTATTTTATTTTTCTTGTTTTTTTGGTAAACTTTTTCTTCTTCTTTTTTTCCTTTATTTTTTTTACTTTAAATTCCATCCTTTTTAACTTTTTTCTTATGTTTTTTTTTTTTGTTATCATCCTTAGAAAACACAATTAAAGATGCCAAATTTAACACAAAATTGACTTTTAGTTTACGTAATTCAATTAAGGAATGGATTGAGAAATCAAAATGCACCCAGCTAGTTGTAGTGTTTATAGAGTTCGTCCTTCGACTATTCAATTACAAACAGTGGAGTATCTGAATCATCATCTTCAGTGCAAAGATGAATGTATGCAATATACTTGCATTTGTTTGATTCTTCGTTCATTATTTGCATATTTCTCAAGAAGCATGGATACATTTTCTTCAAGATTTACCTGGTAATCTCTACTTTCTTTGCTGGCAAATCGATGAAAAAAAAAGTGCTTATTGATCCCTTCAAATCCATGCATTCCATCAATGTAAAAATTATTTTTCTTTGGTATTTCCATTCTTTGAAAAGAGTAAACTAAAAGGGGTGTTTCCTTTTCTTTTCACCTTCGAAGGGAGAGGGGTGTTTTAAAGCTCGTTACTTC